ATATTAAATGCATTTTGAAGAACAGTAAATGCTCGTTAGAAAAAGAGCCATTTTTAAGGTTTAAAAGAGCAAAAGCAAAAGCTGAAACTTGTCTATAGCAACAGTGATGCTCAGAGACAGAACACAGCAACAGGACTGAAATGAAAACAAAAACCAAGCAGAAAACAAACACACAAAACTGTCTTTCCCCAGTAGATCTTTTTCAGTCAGTGTTTTGAATTCTGGGCAGTATGTTTTCTAGAACACTTCCCATAAATGGTAAAATGTAGTTAAAAAATAGTTACAGGTGGCTTTCAAGTGAGATTGTGGAAAACTAGGGCCTTCAAAATACCACAAAACACAAAATCTTCATGCTAGGGAAAAAAGTCTTATATACAGAAATGCAATTTATCTCCATCTTTATCATACAAACATCAGGTTTTACACCCTGTCACTGTCAATGCCACTGTTATTGTCTACTCCTATCTGTCAGTAAAGTCATCAGGATGAGACTCAGAGATCACCACCATTTAGGCACTCCCAGACTCTGTACAGGCTCGTATTTGAGAGCTGACAACAACTGAACAGGAAAAAAGTAAAGACGGGTGGGAGAAAATTCCTATTAAATACACACCAATACTAATTTTAAATGGAGCAGAACAACATTGCAAGTAAAACAAAAAGCATTCTTTTATGTGCTTCTGCTCACTGTTTCCCCTGCGGTTTGGTTATTTTTTTAATATAAGCATTAGTGATCTTCCTTCTTCATTTTTTCTATATTTGGACAAACACTCCTAAAACTCTGACCTGTCAAGACAACTCTCGTGGAAGGGAAGGATCTACTCTGTATACAATGTTTACCTTTAAAATATACATGCGGGGGAAAAAAGCTATGCAAAAGATGGCTTATGTACAGGAAGTAACTGGGATGTGGCAATTACTGGGAGTTGGAAACAACTATTTACTCTTCCACTGAATAACTTAAAAAAATAATTCACCATGGCAACAATCATACTTCATAGCAGATAAAGCACTGAACGCTACAAAGCCTTTTCAAAATGAATTATGCACTAGTGTGTAACATGCACTTTTTTAATGTTACTGCACACATATTCCAACAAAATTTCCTTTTGGACTCATCTGGCATTTGCTTTTTCACTGTGCACCGCACATCATCTACTTTTCTTTTCTGACTTCTGTCCTGCTCAGATCTCATGAATCTGGAATTGTTAAAGGAATTTATTGTGTTAGTCTGGGCAAGGGACTGATATAAAATAATTAATACAGTGGCCTTATGTCCTGCCATCACACTGCTGCTTTAACGTTTTCCCAAGAAATGTATCAATTTGTGTCACTGGTGTCATGATATTATTTAGGAATCCGTAAAGCAAAAATCCTTAGTGGTGTAAAAACCTAGAATGGGTAGAGTGAAGTGTCCTCTAAAAACCTTTGAAACTCCCACTCTTGTAGGAGATCTAAATATCCGTGGGACTTAACTTTACCTTCCTCGGCCATGAATTTAAACAGAGGTAAAGAGCAACAGCTTTCTTATAAAGTGCCCACAGTTCTTGGCCAGCAAATACAGAGTGCCAGAGCAACACCAGCACTTTAGTTCATTATAATTAGCTACAGCACCCTGGATGATAAGAACCCACTCAGAGCTCATAGGAGGAACAATTCCACCAGGATTGATGAGATGTTAAACATTATATCCTGGGATCACAGGAAATTGCAACTGCGCAAGTGAATTTGTGAAAAAATATTTACTTTTGTAGATGTAAGATAGCAATTCGGTGGCTGCCCCAGTGTATCGATAACGAGAACAGCAACAGCTGTGAAGGCAGATTCTCTAGTAAGAGCTTACAACAAATGCAGGAAATTACGACATTAATTTTTAATGGCTGCTTGACAAGCCCCGTCCTGCCCAGAATGCAGGTGTGTGCCTTTTACAAACGACTCCCAGCCCGGGCACTGCAGCTAATAAATTGATATTTTCTGTATTTTTTTCTTTTTGACATTGATTTCCTAATGTCCTCACAAACAATTTAACACTTTTAACACCATCACAGCTCCTTAGCCCTCTTCCCCCCCACGCTATTTTGAGGCTTACTTTGTTCAGAAACAGTGCAAACTTTGATACTTAACAAGTACCCAGCGCCACCTCCTCCCCCGGAGAAAGCTCCCAGCGCTGCCACTGCTTCACTCCAGCTCACTCGTGGGCAGAGAGAAGGGCCCCTCGAGGAAAGCAAAGCAATGAAAGATTTTGCAGGACTGGCCTCAAGAAGATAGTTGAGCCAAATAATAAGGAATATAGTTCTTGGTACACGTAATGCAACTCTATCAGCTGTTTCACCTCCTCCGAGACATTGCCACAGACTGGCACGTACCAGAAATACTCACGGGTGTTGCAACTGTATAAATCCATTATATAATACGGAAATGACAAATATCTAGCAGGTTCACAATCCACCAAAATCAGGTTTACATGCATTTTATAAATGAGAGAAAGGACTAGATTTAGTGGACCAGATGATCCTAAAGGTCCCTTCCAACCTAGGCGATTCTGTGATAATACACACAAAAAAACATTTTACAAAGAATACAGAGTTTATCACCCTAATAACCAGATTAATAAATCCATAACAACTACATCAGCCTTTTAAAAACGAGGAAATCCTGATTCAAATCCAAACGCACACCAGAATCTCACGTGCAGATGTTCAGTGCTGTATCAGAAGTAAAACAGGCTACTTTAGCTCCCGTTGCGTTACAGGGTGACACTGGGGGCCTGCGGTTAAACCATCCCACCCCCACGGGGTGACAGAGCTCCCGGATGGCTCAGCACCCCACAACTACCATCCAGAACGTTGGACAGTCTCACAGCCCACTCTGTGAGCTTACCTTCACCCACAGGTGTTGGGATGTTTGCTTCTCAACAAAGATTGTGAAGGAAAACCAATTAACAGTTGGCTCAAACCACTAGGTGTCAGCAGAAGAAAGTGCACGGCCAACAGCTTGGATGCAGAAAACTGAATCTCATTTCCCTCCGCCGTTACCGTTCTACACACAACTATTAAGTACTACAAACCATCTTTACACACATGTATTAATTATACAGCTAATTCTGTTGAAGATGACCTAATTTTGTGAATTAAATATTTAGAAGATGATAAAAAACATTCCCTCTGCAAACAGCAAAAAATCAGGACTTTGCAAAAAAGTCATTCAAGTGAACAAAATGTTCACATTGGTGTCACTGTTAAAAATGTAAGTAATATTCATAAATATAATAATCTGCCTCAATACAGCCAAGTAAACACATTGCTTCTAACATCTTTTACTGTACTTATTGGCAACAGAGGATTGTGGAGACTTTAAGCACACCACACGTAAGAGGTATCTTTCCATATTTAAAATCTGGCTTAATGCAAGCACAGAAAACACATATATACAGTAGGGAAAAAAATAATCAGTTATTTTGTTACATAAATATTATGATTAGACTTACAGACTCTATCATCCAGATATGTTTTTTCATGCAAAATTCTTGCTACTGAAGTCCTCAGAAAGTTTACAGGAACAGTGACTGGTTCATTGTTGGTGTTCGTATGCACTTCACATAATCTTGTATCTTTAGAGCAAATGCTTCTGAGCAGAATAAGAGCTCTTACTATGCTTAAGTATAAGGTGAATTTAAAGCCTGCTCTGTGACATGTTCTGGGCCTACAGAGAATAATGAAAAATAGCTTCACACCATTTACCCTGAAAAGTCAACTCATACAGTTGCAGTTTCTAGGGGAGTGCCCTTGTCAACTGATTTCAAATGTTCATCTTTAATATTCAGCCTTCAAAATACCAGATGGTATTTCCAGCAAAGCAATTTAAATTTTTATTTTTCTTCATAAATCCCTTAACTAGTTAATCTCACACACACATCCAGGCAAAGAATACACCAATATTCCCAGAGTTGCCTGGCAACTACTGGGAGGAGCATCGGAGAACAAGGAAGCCTGCCTGGATGAAGGGAAGTCAGTGTCTCCCTGACACGGATAAAGGAGGCTTATAGCCAGAGTGCCTTGCTCGTTTGATTTTTGTTATTTATATGGACAACATTTTAAATACCTCCCATTATTTCACCGTAGATGCTTTAAAAACCCAATATTTACACTTCTGGAAATATTCTGTGGATCACGTTGCAGTTAGTACTTTTCATCCCCCGTATTTCCGGGACACATCTCATTAATTATACCTGAATGTTCCTCATACTAGTTACCTTGTCTCCTTTAAAAGGAACCCCCCCTACATACACAGTGTCACAAAATATGTGGGAACACATTAATTTGGCTGGACTGATTCGTACTGAAGTCCATGAAGCTACTTGCAGTAAGCCAGGAACAGATGCCTCACTAAAAGCAATAAAACCCCAGAAAAATCCTTCCCCCACTCAGATGGCACTTAATCGTTGCTAAATGGAGATTAGCTCCGAACCAGAAGCAAGAGATTGCATTTCCCTAACACAGCAGTTATCATCAACAATACAACTCCAGACATTCTTCATATTTCTGTAAAAACACAATTTCTTTAATTGTATTATGTTCTTAAATTCCATAAATTAGCATGTTTCACAGTTAAGCGTATCTTGTGTAAAAAGTAGTATAGCTTTTACTAGCTTTAAAAATAATGCAATTAATAACCAGGTTTTTCAGTGAAAGAAAATAGTCAACTCTGCACTGGCCTATGATCGTTAATTTATCTTTTATCATCTCTCTTCCAGCTTAACTGCCTTCAAAACCAAGTAACACCCATACCATTCCATAAGAAGTTTCTCCCTGAGCGATTGATCATGCTTGCTGCACCTTTCCCTTTTTGGAGCCTGGAACACTGTTGTCAGTACCAGTTAGCCAAACAGCCACGACCCTGATCTTGGTAACAGTAGGTTATACTAAATGTGGAATTCTTGTTAGCTTTTTTCCCCACCACAGTTTCAGATTTACATCTTATGCCTACCAAATGCTACTTACAGGTTCAATTTTCAGGGCGTTTCTGTAGCTTCCAAAGAAGGATGCTTGTGCTTTTAGAAACGCTCTTGCAACACCATCTCCAGTGGTTGTAGAGACTTTCTTCAATCTGTTCTTCAGTCCAGACACCTGAAATCACACAACAGCTCTAGATGACTCTCATATCACAAACACATTGGGGCACAGCTAAATGAAAAGTGCACTAACCACAGCAGCAATTATGACAAAAAGTGACATTGTGAATTTAGAGTTGAATTTTTCAGTTCTAAAAGCATTACTTTCCAAGCTTTCTAGGATATGATTGGATTCTATTGAGAAACCAATAGGAAAATAAAAACTTCATTTCAACTTTTCCTCTACTTAAAATCCACTGCTAGCATGCTGTTGAGTATTCTTTTAAAGGTAGTCCATGAAGTTCTGTGTCATTCTTGATTAGAATCCATGAAAGAATTTCAGCTAAATTAATTCAAACATAGAGAAACTCTTCTGTATAATCAGGCCACTCATCACCACCAGGGCTAAGAACAAATTCTGTAGGTCTGAAAAATCTGTTACCACAAATACAACTTTTTTTTTTCTTTTAAGGTGATATTCCCTCGTATTTCACAACCTCAATGCAAAAGAACAAAATGAGAGTTTTATTTATGCATATGGTGGGTTCCCCTGGCTGGCTCCCAGACTCCCACCCAGCCGCTCTCTCACTCCCCCGCCTCAGCAGCGCTGGGGGAGAAAACACGAAGCAGCAGCTCGTGGGCTGGGAAAAAGGCAGGGATATCACTTACCAATTAGCATCCTGGGTAAACCAGACTCGAAATTAATTCAATTTATTGCCAATTAAAACAGAGTTGGATGGTGAAAAATCACAACACTTTCCCCCCTACTCTTCCCAGGCTCAACTTCCCCCCTCCATTCCCAACTGCCCTCCCTGAGTGGTGCAGGGTGATGGGCAGAGGGGTCATGGTCAGACATTAACATTTCCTCCCCACAGCTCCTTCTCCTTCCCTCTCAGCCTGCCCTCGCCCCTCAGCCTGCCCTCCATGGGCCTGGCTGTGCCCCCCAGCCCCGGCCTCCCTCACACAGGCCCTGCAGGCCCCGCCAAGGCCCCACCGACAGACACCCCGTGCCATCAAGAGCACAAACCCTGCAGTTTTTCAGAAGAGTCAAATTAACGTCGACATTCTCTCCTTCAAAGTGGTCAGTGTCTACCGAGGGCTTTGTTCTTCCTGTGTCTCAAGAGATGTAAAACACCTGTGGGGGGTGGCTCTGCTCTGAGCCCTCCCCCTGGCCCTGGCCCCTGGGAGGGTCTTGAATTACCTCAGGATTCACAGAGCCCCACTTCAGGGCAAACAACAGTCTCGTTACCACTTACACCCATCACAACTTAGCAAATATCAACTAAAGGCATTTCTATGCAGGCAGAGTTTAAACTACCATGATCCAGGTTACCGGAATATTCTTTGTTTTCTGTGTACACCAAGGGCTAAAGTTTTAGAGGATTATCCGTTACCATTCTCTGTGCTTCAGAATTTCGCACACATACAAGGAGGTTCTGACTTAGTTTGATGTCTCTTTTCTAGTGCTTAGAGCTCAGTAACTACTGAAGTAAGGTTGTGTATCTATATATTATTGTTAGTGACACCGTTTTTCTTTCCCAAACACAAGCTGGGAAAGGAGATAAAAAATCCTTTCAAAGATTAACATCAAGCTCGCTGTGCCTGTGCCACAGCAGTTACAGGTTACGTTAAATCATTAACAAATAGCTTATGTCAGTAGCAATTTTTTTGTGTTGCAGACAGAACCAGGACAAGCTAAGGTTTTGAGACAGATCTCACAGAACACGTCACAATACAAGAACAATAATCCGGGCACTGATTCTTGAAAGAAATTCAACTAGTGCTTTTAGAGGATGCGGTCACACCACCTGTAAAACCCAGGTTTGATGAGACACCTCACACAGAAGACAGGGAGGAGCCAGTTTCATAAGGAAAGCAGAAAGCCAGGGAATCCCCAGTCATCTTGTTGCATGAACAACATGAATGACTCCATAAATATCCGTATTATGAATTTAACAGAAATAATTCTAACAACAACAAGCAAATATTCCTTTTCCAAATGCTATTCTGAAAAACTCTATTGGGGTAGCTCTATATACTTCACACTATGCAAGAAATGTTGTAGGAATATTATTTACAGAGTTAGCAGATTCTTGCAGTGAACCTAAACTAACTGCTTTTTCTGAGAACATGAATAATACTTCAGAAAATATAAACTGATGGGTCAAATGGTCAAATTAACTTCCAAGATTTCCCCCTACCCTCCAGCTAGGAGCTTCTCCATGTTTGAAGGAGTCTGATGTTGTAAGGACAAAATATGCGTTTATTTCCTATGTTAGCTTATGTAAACCATTTAACACTAGTTCTTAAAAATGCAACAAAATGTCTATAGCTCTGAGTAACTTCCAAATCCATCTCAAACAGTTATCAAAGTGGTTTTCTTTAAACATTCATGTGAAGATAAAGAACTTGCCATCTATATAAAAGGAAAAGGCTCCATGCTTTGTTTCACAACAAATTAAAAGTTCAGAAGGGTAGTCACAGCCTTTCTGTGGTTGATCCTCCCTATTTGGTATAAAAGTAGAACACTGATAGGTATTTTGCTAATTTGTTAAGCTTTCAGACCATTTTCTCTCTTCTAAGACTAAATCAAACACTTATACTCCTTCAATCAGGACTATTGCAATAGGCATGCTGTGTTTTTTAAAAAACCAAAATATTAACAACAATGTATTTAAACAGACTAACATGTAAGAATACAAATATTCATGTTTAATCTGGAAAAAATTAGTACATAAACCAAAGTAGATTATACAAGCAGAATTATGATTGTTTAGTGCCTAAAGAGCCAGTAAAACTTCTAAAAAAATAAGACTGTGACCACTCAATATGAAGATTATTTCTAGCCAAACAGACACATATACATGCAGTCTACCCTGAGAGTGTTTTTAAAGATTTTTATACTTCTGGCAGTTCAGGTTTAAAGGTCAGATTTAAACTATCACCATGTTTCAAAATGCAATCTGTGCAATGCAGCATAATGAAATGGTTCAGTAAAGGTGCTAGTGGAAATTCTTTTAATTAGGTCCAAGGCTTTTCAGTTGTCAACATGAATAAAGCAAGAAACATTCTACTGCAAACACGGTGTAGGAAATAAAAATGGATTCACCTTTAAGAAAATGGCTCTACTATAGAGTTGTAGTTTAGTACTTCTTGCTGTCCTGAAAGCAGTTAATCTCCCACTAAGTAAAAAACAGTAACATAGGATTCCTGCTTGTGATAACTTGTTAATGAAGGGACAACAGTCGCGTACACAACTCAATTCCTGACAGCCTCAGATATTCCTAGGATAGTGCAAATTTACAACACTCGCAGCCATCAGATACGCAAGATCTCTTTGGCGCAGTACACTGCATTGCATCAGGGCTTCATTTAATAAAAACTACAAGTTGACAGAGCGAGCTTATGCTTTATTCCTTGTAATATGAAGCTCTGACTACAACTAAGACTAGAAGATGACACTTATTTGGAAATACATGAAAAATCCATAAGGGTTGCATAAAAAAAAATTACTACCCCCTCTTTGCTATTCCTTGCAACACAGACGGTGGTGTAGGAGACTTGTCAGCAGCAGATGCACTTATTGTAATCACAGTCCTTAATAAATCTCTTTTTTTAATATTGACTATTTTAAAAGGAAAGTTACTTCCCAGGGCGTTCTCATGCTGCCAGATTTTCAGCAACATATCAGAAGCAGAAGGTGAAGGAGGGACAGTTTTTCACATTTCTAATAGCTACTCAGTAACGCAGTCGTACACACCTTGATTTTCAGGGACTTGACCTGAGCAGCTCGAGGAGCCTGACTGCCAGCGGGTACTGCTGAGGTAAAGTGGGGAAAGAAATGACTTCATCTGATTCTGCTGAACTGCCTTAATGCTGTCCAGCTCCGGTGACACAAATGTTCACTGGAAAGGCATTCCAGGGTAGCCTACGCTCACTCGGATCCTCGGAGTACAAGACTGACAAATAGTTCACTCTAGATTTCTGAGAAAACCAACAGTTTAGGTAGGAACGTGACTGTCATGAAACTCAAGTATAACTCACTGCCTGAAGCTCTAAAATAATCATAGCACTCCATGGCATTGGTTTACTTGATTAAAAAACCTGTTCAAGGAGAAGGGAAAAACACCTTCAAAAATTTTCCACTGGATTAATTACCTGATGGTGAATGCACCACACAAAAGATGTTTCTCCTCACTGTTGAATATAGACAGATTTAATTTAGTGAAGTAAATTTGGTGTCTATTCAGCAGTGCATGAATTGCTCACTGTTCACATTAAGTAGCAAAACTGGAGACTAGTTTGACATTACAGCAATTTATGATCATGAGACTGTTGAAGTCATGTTTAGTTTCTCAGATCATAACTGCATCTGTTTAGATTGAGACCAGTAGGGAGACACTCCCAGAACTTCCCCATCCTCCCAGGGAAGCAAAAGGGAAAAAAGAAAAAGAAAAAAAAAGTATAATGGATTGGCTTTAGAGTCTCCCTGCTGAGATGAACAACTTGATCCACTTACAGTTCCAAACACATGATGCATGAAAGAACTGACAGAAATTCAATTCTCGCAAAGAAGAGCAGCTGCTCTCTAGTGGTCAAAGCCAAATATTAAGCAGTCTGAAGGAAAGGGAAAGACCTAGAGGAGAATACTTCATTGTCTAGGTAACTAAAATTACGAAACAAAGCTAAATAAGACATAAACACTGATTGCAAACATTAATTACACAACACGACACGATTCAAGTTAAGGCTTTGTTGCGACAAATATTAATCCCAGCTGTATTTATATAGCAGTTGTGAAAAAAAATACATCATGTACGCTATTTGTGAGCCATGCCAGTTAATTGAATTTGCTGGCAGCACTTCCTCTGCTATGCTCCAAACATCCTCCAAGATAAAATGTAGCTTTTAAATAGACCTGTGGAAAACTGAATCAAGAAATTTGAACTAATAAAACACAACTCTTTACTGTTATAAAAGTGAAGTAAAAGTAAATAATGAAAGGAAGGAAGTCTCTTAAAATTTATTACATTCCAAAGCTTGAAGTTCTGTGTTTATTGGTGAAGTCTCTTCTGATGTTCTACAGTGCACCTACAACAGCTCCTTTAATGAAGTCTCATAAAATCTAATATAATACTTGATTGTTGACAAATCATATACATGTTTGAGGCCCCGCACTCACTGTATCCAGACATTTCTTACATAATTCCATGAGATTTACAAGTCTGTCATTCCTGGGCTGTGGATAATGGCTCGAGCGATGACCAGCTGGCAGATTTGGATGGTGGGAATGAAATCAAAATGAAAAACTATATAAAGCCAGAAAAATTCATGGAAGTAACTTTTATAGACTAAATGGTTGACTAAAGCCAAAATGTTCATGATCAAGATGGACCTTTTATCCAGAGCTCACTGTTTTTGAGGAATGGATCCCATCACAGATCACAGAGAAGTGAGGGGATGGCACAGGAGGCGGCACTGAGGATTCACCATTACTTCAGTTTTTCCTCAAATGGACGAGCTCATATCGAGCTCCCCGCATATCAATTTTATTTCTCAAGTACACATAAAAAGGTATGGATTTAACCGTCAGCACAATATTTTGAACTAGTAAAAGAAATCCAGATTTTCCCCTGCTGTTTTCTCCTAAACAGTTCCCCTCTGACTTAAAAATAGCTTCTTATACTCTTACTCACTTCACCGCTCTTCATTCTCAGCTTTAGTGAAGATCATTCCATACATACCACATCGTTAGGGAGGCTCTGAAGGTCATCAAAAGGGGTTTCCAGTGTGTTGGTGTCCACATTAAGAATCACTACATCTTCCAGGGCCATATTTCTTACTTTCTAAATATGAGAAAAAAATCAAGAAAAGGGAAAGGAAAATGTAAGTATGTAGAGTCAATCTTATGCATAAGGGACACAAGGTGTGGCAGAACATCACGGCATTACAAAACCTCAAGCATTTTATAAACAACTAATGCTCCTGTCCTTCCATCATCAATTGTTTTATTTATTCACATTTTACAATGTTGAAAAATAAACATTCAGTTTGCAGAGGGAAGATGTTAACATTGTACAGACTGAAATTTTTGAAACTGTTTGAGATTATTCAAACAAATATTTATTTCAAGCACCTCTACTGATGTTTATCTTAATTCTGATATCCTGTTTGCACATTTAGCAGATTCTAGCCGAGTTAAGATTTCAAGTCTATCTTTTCATATTTAAAAATTAATTTAAATAACAATAAATACGGTCTTTTTTAGGAGCTAAGAGTTGCAGAAATTCAGGGATGGAAATTGGTTTCCAAACTCCAGGTTGAATTTTGCAGGTCGAATAAGTACTGTTGTAAACTTGTCTGTAACTAAAATGGACACTACCAGAGGGTACTAAATAAATAATTAAAATTTTAAAAAGCTAAGAGAAAAATAGCTCCACCATATCCTGGTCTCTTGATGTTCAGTGAGTCTGAACTTCTTATCCTGTTCCCAGGAACTGAGAGAAAGAGATGCCTCTAATCTAGTTTGAGTGTTAACATCATCTGTAACAGTCCAGGGATAAAAACAAGAGAAAGGCATAACGTATTTCTCAGAAGAATGATCATTAGTACCATTAAGTGTCTAAAGGTATCGGTGATCTAAGCAAACTTAAACATTTTCAGACTTTATTTCCCTGCTTAAACAACAGTAAACGAATCACTGATATGAAACAGAGCAGCGTTTAAGTATTTATTAACACTTTTTCCACTAAAAGGAGAATTGAATCCTTTTTTTTTTTTTTGACTGACTAATCATACCTATTTAAATGCTCTTCAAACACAGCTTTCAAAATTAAAAATCAGAAGAAGTGGAACTACAGAATATGGTAATTAAGGAAATTTCCAATAACACTGCAAACAAACAAACATTTAATACCTACATACCTATACATAGGACAAAATGCAAGTTACTGAGGAGGAAAACGAACAAAAACATACTCAATTTTTAATTAAGGTTTTGTGGGGTGGAGGGAATTGTTTCCTTTAAAAGAAAGGAACTGAAGCTCTAAAACAATGGCAAAGTTGAGCCTTAGGCATCTAAATAATTACCTTCAGTTTTCAAGGCTCAGCCCTCTGTCTATAAAGGAAACTGCTGTGTACTTAGGGGGGAAAAAAAAAGCCAACAACTATAAAAAACACTTTGTAGACATTTAAGTTTAGGTCTTCCATGAGAAATTTCTTTCATTTAAATGGAAGAATATTGCGTTTAATGCTTTCCATATAAAAAGCACAAGTACTACACGACAAACCAGGTACTTTCCTCTACATTTCAGGAACCAAAGGTCACTCTGTTGGCTGCATCTGATAAACTCTAAAGCAATCCAGGAGTCTTGCTCCTTCTAGGAGTCCGGAAGCACCAGACAAACTGATTTGCTCCTTCCTGTTTCAGAAAATTAAAAATCTCACTTATACTCAGAGGAGTCTAAAAAGCTCCAACAAAAAGGCCTTGCAAGGTACTTAACCAAAGCCAGAAGCTTGTCAAACCCGAGTGCTAGTAGGACAAGACAGAGGGAATTAAAACCTTCTCTTGATTCCTGCTGAAGAAGCAACAAACGTGCTTGAACTTGTCAATGGGTGTTTCTGTGACTTTGGTGATGAATCTGCACCTTCCCCTCAGCAAAACGTTGGGGATTTCTGTAGTGCAGCCCAGGTCTGTGAGAGGGGGCTCTGCCAAGGAGGGCAGCGCAAAGGGCTGCTGCTCACGGGGCCAGGACTGTAAATGCTGATCAATGTCATCATGCCCATGCATGGCCCAGGAATAATCATATCCCAAAAAAAGGTTAAGATTAAACTCCGCTGTGCTATACCTGTGCACTGTAAAAACCACAACCTTATTTTAACACTTCTCAATATTTTTATTAAGACAGTGGATTTCCCTGGAGAGAAACCCTAAAATTTAATAAACCACTTGATACTAACTTGATTTATAGTATCTCTCTTGCAGTGCAATTGAAAAAAAACCATATTTTTGCAGTGGTCCAATTGTGGCTCATCCTTGAGAAATGCAAATTGACTAGTTTATCTTCATTCTTATCTGATGTTTCTATCATCTTTCCTTTCACTATAATCTTAAAGGTATAATCGGATAGTTATAAGGGCTTTTGTCAAATAATGAAATGGTTCTTTTGCTAACCATAGTACCTCTATCAGCCCAACTGACCTGGAAATAAAAGTGTTCACTCTCTTGTTGAGAACATTCCCAACATCCAACTGCATTTCCCACATTAAATCCTATTGGACTCTATGAATCCAACTACAGTTTGACAGGTACCGTTTGCGTGGTGTGTCATTTTCTCAGAATACGAAGGGAGAGCCACTAAGCTACATACATACACTCACTTCCCACACTGCACAACTTCCTGAATATCTAACCATAATTTACAAATAAAGTGCCACCTGTTAAACAGAATGGACTATATTCACTATGTTCATTTTTGCTGAAAAAAAATGTGGCGAAGCAAAGAACAAGAGGAAACACGAACATTACAGTTTCCTTGTCTAATTTTACTACAGACAAGGGATTTGCTGAGTCAAAACAAGTGATTCAGTGAAAATGCGCATCACATATCACTACTGTAAACCTTTCTTAACCATCCTTACCGAATTACTTGTAGCCATAATTAATCATCTAAAAACCATCAAATGGAACTAACATCTACACCTGCCTTTTATTTTAAATGTCGCTTTTTAAAAGAGTGGAGAGGTATGGAAAGCTGCTTTAACAAGCACACTGAACCCATTGTTTATGGCCTCTATAAACATGGCTTAGTAAGAATTACTGACTTAATCAGAGAGAACTTATCTCCTGGTGAAAAGAGCACTTTAAATTTCAGAAATGGCACCTTTACTGTGAAAATCTCTTAACTTTTCAAACAAACTCCAGGGGGCCTTAAACACCAGGTCAGTAAATAAGCAGCAGTTAGTGCATCTGTCCTGCTCACAAGCAGCCAAACACTTGAAGTAATTTAAATGTTTTATGTGAAAGTTAGCAAAAACTCCAAGAAACTATATTCTAATAGAAGTATTAAGGGCTGCGCCTCCGCCTCACTCCGATCACACGCTAGAAGTAATTTTCACCAATGACTAACATGACTTTATACTAAATGTTATTTTATTATCACTGTCTACATTTGCCAGTTTTTGCATTTCCTACCATAAAAAAATAATCTTAAGTTAAACTGCTTTCAGAATAACAATTTTATTGAATAGTTCATTTAAAAAGAAAAAAAACCCAACACCACCCTGCTTCCCCCTGGAAAAATGGGTTTGCATAATTTCATGTCTAAATTGGTGCCAAAACATAAACCAAGTTGATCGTGACGTTTCCTAACCAGATACAAACGTGAGCAATGTTTTAAAAAATATTGTATCAGAAAAAAGAAAATGTACCTCCCACAAACTCTTTTGGAAAGGTAAAACTCTTAACAAAACCTAACATATTTAGTAGCCAGTTTGTACACTATATTTGAAATTATTAAGAAAGCACGATTCACAACAAGTCCATTTGCTTAATGACTTGTCTCTACTTAGTTAATAGTTTCCATTTATTTTCTTAAGAAAAACACCGCAACGCTGCAGACAACAATGTGTCAATCTGGCTGCCAGAAGCAGGAAAGGCAACGGATATAAAATTTTATTATTTCATGCCCCAACAGCAGCCAGAAGGACTTAATGAAATCACCCTCAGATTTACAATCTGAAATAGCTATTCAGCAGACAAATCTGGTTAAGCTGGATGTGCCCCCTGACCTCCCGGGCCTTTGATCTGGGCACAGCAGGTGGGCGCCTGCCCCCTCCCGAGCATCTCCCGCTCTTCCGCCCCCGGCCCGGCCCGGAGCGGTACCCGGATCCTCATCCTCATCCTGATCCTGCACAGGTGATGCTCCAGATCCTTATCACCAGCAGCTGCCGCCAACTGAGTGACAAACATCACTAGCGCTGGCCTAACACCACGGCCCAACGGAAGGAAAACCTTATACCGGTACTTACTGGTCAGCCTGGACTGACTGGGAAGTCTGCTCGTTTGTCTGCCTCAAGACTTACCCCTCAAACATCCACACACAGAGAATACCTTACTAAAATACAGGTATTATCTTCATTTTTCTAATAATTGGACAAATGACAATTCCAAAAGTATTTTTTCGTATTTTTAAATGCTTTTTTATCAATACTCCTGAAACCATTATAATATTTCTGAGTGACGAAATTACATTTAGTTTTTTAAGGCCTGGATTTAAGTATCTCTCTGCGCCAGGGAGAGCCCAGCGCCACGAGCAGCGGCCTGTCCCAGTGTACTAAACACAGCCTGAATTTCAGTGAACCTTCTTTTCCTAACACGAACATATTTACTCATACCAGATTAAAATAAAACAAAGATCTGCTCATACAGCTTTTATGATACGCACAACTGTCCTTTATGCTCAGGAAAAATGTTAGAAAAATCATTCTGACAAATGCAATGTGGTTTCACGCACAAATTCCTTCTGGATAATCTTGCAAGAATTAAAATTCTAAGTCCCAGAAAAAGTCCTTGAGGGACTGGAATATTAAAAAAAGAGTATAATAAATATTTTTCCAAACATTAACTTTAACTCTAAAGGTTAGTTTTGTGCCCCAAGGAGCCCATGGTAAGGGTGGGTGTTACTGTGACTCGAGTGGCCCAGAGGAGGATGCTGCCAGCAGCTCGGTATCTGACAGCCAAACTGGACTGTCCCACTGGTAAATCAAACCCACATGTGCCTGAATTCCAGTCCATAGTCTCCTAGGTCAAGGGCAGTCCTCTTCCATCAGCGCCATCACACTAATAACCTTCCCTACAGAAACAGTTGCTGAAACAATCGTTTACTATGACAAAATGTAAAAGGCTGCCAGCGAAGTCTGACACCACTTATAACACAAAGGTCGATTTAACACAATTTGGACACTAAAATAACATACAGTATGCAGGTAGAAAACAAAACAAGATTTTGAAAGGGATGTGTTCGTTTGACAGAGTTTAATTTTCCTATCTCGTTATTTATCAGTACTAAGTTCTTATCTTCATCTAATATGAATTCAATTAGTTCCGTAAGCAAGTTCCATTATTCATGTGATAGCTCCAGCCCTGCCTATCCAACAGCTTATAAACTTTTAGCCTTCTTTGAAGTCACTTTATGGATTGCTAAATGGAAATCTTATAAAGAATGACTAACTAGGTGATGATAGAAAAGCTGAAAAATAAGAGCAGAAAACACAGCTCTATATTTTCTACCAAGATTTTCCCTCATAAATCAGTTAGAGCCCTCTGACCTATAACAGGAGATTATCTTATCTCACTGGAGAACATTTCAGTCACAGCAAATTAGATTTAACAGTCAATGGATATGCTTGATATTTTAATCATAAGAAAAATTTGTCATTTTCCATTAAAATAACCGCTCCTTCTACAGAGACCCCGTGTAACACAGGAAACTGCAAACTAACTTTAAGATACACAGCAGTTTGAAAAAAACCTTTGAGGCGAGAGGGTGTATTTTGTTAAAATCATTAACATTTCTGCTGTATTTCTTCCAGAGGAGCCACTCCAAGATAGGCCCAGCAAAAACCACAGAAACAACACTAAAGCTAGAAAATTATTTTTTTCCTGGATTCCAAATTCACCCTCCCCTTTAGACCACAGCTTCCTCTGTGCAAGTGGAGGCTTCCACTACCATGTACACAGCAATGACCAATTCAGGCAGTGGAGCTGCTGGAGCAGAACCCTGAGCTCCATATAACTGCAATGACTCCCATGGCTCGGTGAGAGATAAAGAGTCCACCTGCCTTCACGGGAATAGAAGACCAGGGAATGCATCCCTTATCCTCAAACTGGAACGTGTGGATTAACACACTTTAAGATTTACTTGCTGAAATTCCAGCATTTAATGAAAAATGAATACTGGATAACGACAGCAGTTTTTAGTTGCAGGTCATAAAATTATTTTCTTCACCTACATGTGAAGAAAAGGACAAAGAGTAAGCTTTCAGCCTCAAAAACAAGCAAAGAGGTAAAGTAGTAATTGTATGGCTCATCTGACATCTCACCTTTTCTTTGCCCAAGGCAGACAGAGATTACACAGTACTTGCCAACAAACAGATACAGTAGCCCACCGTGTGATTTTATTTTGTTTTTTTAATGGAAAAAGCACAGTTAGCTGGAAGATGCATTTCTCTCTGGAAGGATTCAATTTATCCCTAAGAGCAGAGGGAGAAGAGGAGACAGTTTGTTTTATTTATTTAATTTATTTCAGAAGGCACTTTGAATCACGGTACTTTGCCAAAGTAAGTCTCTGTTCCAGAATCTCCGGCTATTCAAAAGCCATACTGGATTTAGTACTAAACAGATTTTTTCACAAGTTACTAAAACGGATGAAAATTGGCTTCTCCAGGAACAACTCCTTTTTCTGAGTTTTTACAGATGGAGTTTGGAAGGCCTACAGAGCCCTGCAATCTGAGACACCGAGGGAAAGGGAGAGGTGCTGGGTTTATGCAGCCAGGCAGGAGCGAGACATCGTGCAGAGCAACTCCAAGGTGTAATTATTAAATTTTTTTTCTATACCCATTGCCAGATGAACCACTCAGCTCTGTGTGAGTAAAACTACTTGTGAGAGCTGACAACTGTCTGTACTGAGATATCATCCCACCCTCTACCAGGTCTCTTCCTTATTTGAAACAGACAGATCCCGCAAGAAGCCTGCCAAGGATTACCTGGTATGGACACGGGGCAGAAAGTTTCTTGATCAATATGAAAAATACATGCTAGGCTATTTCTTCCTAGATATTAATTCCATCCTGTCTATGCAGTATTCAAGGGTAATTATCAGAAACCCCTCTATCATAAGCATGTGATGTGCAAACAAATGTACACGTTGACTTTTAAAATAATTGCTTATTCCCTAACACATTGTACTGCAATTCTGTACTTTATTTAGCAATATAAAGGGCATAAAAACATCATCTGTACCCAGGATGATAAGGAAAAAAAAAAAACCCAACAAAAAAGGGGTCCTGCATATTCCATCTAGCTTCTCACAAAAAAAGTGACTTTAAAAATTCTTTATATTAATGCTGGAAAAAGAGAAAAGTTACATAGGATACTAGTCTGATTTTCAACACACAAAGAGATAGAGGATCATTATTACATTCATATGCCCCAGTGAAAGAATATGTTTCATCAGTATTTCCAGAGAAATTGCACATTTTTATGGACAATACAAGAACAAATACTCTATAATACACATTACATTATGTGATATAAAACTCAGCCTGTGAGAGGGGGGGTTCCCGGGCAGGGACCCCTCCCGCCCAGCGCACACCCACACAGCTCCCTCTGCAATGGGGCACAGTTAATAAGGACTAGGGATTTCATAGGCAGCTAAATTAATGGCTTATGTTGTCCTCCAGATACTTTTGAGGAAAGTCATCAACTCTTTCACCAGTCCTGGAAGCAAAAGCAAGTCTGCTATTTCCCCTTTTAGTGTTTTTAAAAAGTCACATGAATGACTCGGAATTGTTTATATGAGAAGCTTTCTGTGAGGGCTGGTTTTCTGCCAGCTTTGTGTTAACATTAACAGCAAGTTCCTTCTTTTCAGATCTTTTGAACATTAAAAAAATTACAATCTGTCTGCAAAAGCCTAAAAAGAGAACTGTAACTGTCAACATTTTGGTTTAATATCGACTCTGCCTTCGTGAATGCAGAGTCAAACCAAGGCAGCAGTGATGGGATGAAGTGACAGGATGGGAGGGGGACAGGAGAGCTCGTCCCCCACGGCTGAACTGAGCAGAGACCCTGCCCAGAGAGCACAAGGTACCAGATGAGACTCCCTGAAGATTTAACATTATCACGTACACTTAACTTCAGCTCCCTCGGCGCTCCTAAATTAACATGATTATTTCATTTTTAAGCATATGAATGAATGTATAATTGCTTGCAGAACTTGGCTCTAAATCATAAAACTATATATAGTTTCAGAAATGGTGAGAAAGACTTACCTCCATCAAACTTAAATGTATTCCAATGAGGTAGGGCATTGGGGCACTGCAAAGAGGAAAAAAACCTAGCTTTACATTCTCGTAACACTGGATTAACACATATGACTTATAAAATTAGCTACAGGAAAATACCAGGATACTGGATTAGATTTAGCTTAAAAAAAATTATATATATATATAAACAAACCACATGTGAACAAAATTTTATTCCATATTTGAAAGTCTTTTTTTTACTGTCCAATATCCTCTCGCTACTGTAAGACTAATCCTTCTCAACATTAGAATTCGTAAGTGATTTAGTTAAGACAGGAACATAAGGACAGTTATTAAACAGATCTATAATATTGGGGTCATTTTAAACAAACAAACAAAATGGGTTATTATAACATAAAAAAAAAAAATACCCAGACTTTTTCTAAGAGTATTATTTAGAAAAATTGGTCCTGTTGTAATGTTAAGTGGTCAATTTAACGTATACGTATCAACCTGTACTACAAGTTTTAAATCCTTTGGGTCCAGACACATTTTAAATAATCTATTTTTAAGTATAAATATTGAGATGTTTACATTTACAAAAGAAAAAATACAGAAATTACTTTTGAAGATTCTGATTAACTCCAGAGTTCCAGGGACATAGGCTGATCCCATTATTCCCCTCAGAACACAAATCCAGCAGGAGGCTCCGGGCCAAACCCCCAGCCTCGGACCCGGTGCAGGTCTCCTGCTCCCAACCAGAACACCAACATTTCAGAGAGAGATTGATCTTTTCGGTCTTCTCTTCCACGACGTTAGCAAACACCACCACAGACTGTGTAACACCAGCAGAAGCCTGAATGGGAGTTGTATCTTTGTGTATACAGTATTCCTAATATTAAGCTTATTACAGGACTCCCACTCAGCTAATGAGGGAAAGCTTATATTTGCACTGCTTATTAGAACACATCAAAGAGGATGCCAAAGCTGCTAATTGCAAATATGGCATATACTGCCTGTTAAATGGAAAGCACGCAGACAGACACAACTTTTAAAATAGAGCTTCATTTCATTTTGGATACAGAAGCTCAAAGAGCTCATTTTCAACTTCAGATGAAAAAAATGAGAGAAATGTCACTGTACTGCTTGGATTAAAATATCTTCCATATTGCTTTTATAAACCCGTGCCTACTGCTCAGTAAGAGAAGTAGAGTGCTGAAAAAACTACTGCAAGACACCAGACCAGCAAAAATCACTCTGCTTCTCATTTTCATGAGAAATACCTTTTAAAAAAATTTATTTCCTGATATGCATATTAACATTTATTATGTTTATTAATAAAGCCTCTAAAACTGCCACTCCATTGGATACCGACCATGGGACGGAAAGAGCCTCTGTATCAGACATTTTACATGAAAACACTGTATTTCTTTTTGAAGACGTTAAACATATATAACTTCAAAAACCCCTCACAAGTTCACCTGCAGCACACTGAAACGCGGGTATCCCATCACATCACCGCTTACTGAACCGCTGAGAAGGGCCCTGCCCCAGCTTCACCCAACGCAGCCCCCACAGCCCCAACCAACCTGGGCCAGTCCTGAAGGTTCTGCTTCCTTGGGAATTCCCCAGATGAGAACCAGAACATATATCCAAATTCTCAGATAGTAATTTTTACCATACAACATGATATATGGATTGCTGCTCAACTGAGGAGTATTTTTATTTGTCATTTTGCATGTTTTATTTGCGACGAATGCCATCTCTTTCACCCACATCTCTTCATTTCCAATGGCCACATTCCAGGAGCAAGAAAATACCCAGTAATTTTACATTCAAAGTATAAACCATTGGTTTAGCTGCCAGCTGCACAAATGCTCAACTTCCCCGTGTGCCTGGCTGCGCTGCTCCAGGCTCCTCCCGTATGCACCCAAATGAATGTGTTTCTAATTAAGTAGTTTCATGAACACGACAGCTTCAATCTCAAAAATACAAAGTCTGAACCTCGGCAGGAAGTCTTAAGACTGCAAATGTCTCATCTAGTGGAACCTTGGCGAATGTAATGAAAGGAAGCAGGAAGAGTGCAGTATTCCAGAAAACCAGCCATTTATTAACGTGTCCAAAAGCAGAGCCTGTCACCAAGCACAGGAAAATCTGAACCTGTAAAAGTTAATTAACTGTATCACCTCCGTCTATCAATCCTCCAGTTTATCAACAGAAGAATAATGAGAATTACTAAAACCTTAAAAACATGCACCCCCAGAAAGATTTCTAAGGAATTGCAGGAAAGATATGGCTGAAGATACATGGATCAGCTGCGGGTGCAATGAAGCATTTTGTCAATTTTCCAATGAAAGACGTTCCAGGCAAAGGCAAAGCAGGGAAAGAACTATTCCAGGGATTGCATAAAGGCCACAGGAACCTGACTTTTAGCAATGTTTTGAAAGCTGTTATTTCTTTAAACTTGTATTACTAAACACTAAAGGACTCCCGTCAGGTGTTTCACAGGCACACAGGCAGCCAGAGAGGAGAAAGCAGGAGGAACAATTTGCTACCCCAGAACTCCAAAGAGCGGGTTCAGCAAACCCACTGAGAGAAAAAATAGCTCAGGTTTTGCTGATCGATTTAAAAAAGGAAAACTTTGAAGCAGTAATTTGTTGAAGTATAATGTGCTAGTTTTGCAAATATTTGTGTTAGTTTTATGAGCAGTTGCAGAGATTTCCACTGGGGAATGAGGCAGAGCACAAAAGATGACGTTGGGTATTTCTTTGAGAAAGACTCAACACGTGGGTGTCGGACGGGATCCCCGGGCGCTGGGACGTGGCCCTGGGGTGGAGAATGACAAGGAGGTGAGGTACGTGCTGTGAGGGGCTCCAGGAGACAAACAGCTTGTCTGATGCAGAGGAGAAGATGGGGAAAGTAGAAGGTAAATGAAAAAGGTTGACAAAACCATATTAGAATACTTATTGTCAGAACTTTTTCAATGCGTACAAGCAACTGCTCGGCTTCCAGAAGCCAGAGGGAGAACGCCAAAAGATCAGAGATGGGCACAGACCCCTGGAGCTCCACAGAGATGAACGAGAAAGGCCACATTTCAGACATGAGGCAGAAGAAATACACACCATTTAGAAATGGATTTGATCTGAAGACAAACAAAGTTATGGGAATATATGAAATTAAGTCAGTTTTATCCACAAAAGCCAATGCTTTTAATGACTGAAAGACACCAAGGCAAACATCATTAAATATCCTCAATCAAATATAATTCTGGTAAAGAGCATAATTATTTCCAATATTTATTTACCAGAGAGATTCTATTCTTCTGTCATCACTCATCAATCTGACTGAAAAGGAAACACCTAAAACTAGATGTTGAAGATTCACATCAGGCTTCATAAATTGCCTTTATCCCCATTTTTCTTTATCATGTGTTAATCATATGCTATTACTCAAATACTCGCCTCCTGCCCTGTGCAAGGGAACGCTGTGTCTCCTCCTCCCCATTCAGAGCCCACTATAACAGCTCTTCCCAACCACTATTCAGGAGCTGAGACATGAAACACTCAGTTTTTAATATTTTATCAGGTTAGATGTGTATTTCCAGGACTTTCAAGTGAACTTTCAGGAAGACTCATCACTTGTTTAAACAGGAGAAACACTCTGCACAACCTTTAATCCTTCTGGGACCCGGCACAGATTAAAGACTGCCCTTCAGACCAGTCTCCACCTGAGGCTTGACACTTCATCAGTCCTGGGGCTTCTTACAACCACAACTACTAATGACTCCAAGTTGTTTGATGGCAGCCAATATCCATTAAGTGCAAAATTTAAAAGTATCAATTTCTACTACGCATATTTACTGCTTAAAGAAAATTCCTGCCTAAGTCTTTTGGAACAAAGAGAAAGGTTATTACTCCTCTTGTGCTACACTGGTTCCCAACGCAATCAGCATTATTTATAATCAAATGAGTTATATAGGTAAATATCAAATCATTAAAGTAGCAATGCATAAGCATGAATATGGATATTGTGGACTTAATGGCTATATATTGCCCATTTATTACAGTTGCATTTTTACAATTTCTTTAATTCGTTTCCTTTGGCTAACTAGAGACCTCTTAATTATGCTCCCAAGAGGTAGGCAACTACTAATTGGAAGAGAAGCAAGTGAAATAGAGGGACATTTCCTCTTAAGTGAAAAAACTCATGCTTAAAAAAATACTGTAATTCACCAGAAAAAAGTAATGTAAAAACCAAGGATCTCAAAGAGGTTCATAGTTTATGGCTACATAGGGATTTGTACCATTTTCCTTCATTGTTCAGAAAAATTGATTAGATCACAATTACTAAGTTCATGTCTTAATACACAAATACAGACTTAACGTGTCCCTCTTTCACACCAGTAGGACTTGACTCTCTAAGGTAGATTCCTGATTTCTCATCAGATTTCTCACTGAATTGCAACAGAATTCAATCCAAAATTTATTGGGGTAATTGATGCAAATTAGAAACTTGACTGCACAAATTGGAATGATGTGGAAAACACACAGCTAGGAAACCAGAAGAGCAACTACAAGAGCTTTTAGTGAGCACACAGATGTAGCGGGTAAATGGAAATGCCTACCAAGAGGCTCCTGACCAAGGCATCATTGTTTCTTGAGCAGCAGGAGGACTCGCCCCCCCGGTTACCCCCTCCACCTACTTAAAGGAGCACATTGAACTATATGCAGATTTAGAAAATGGGAGAAAGGGAGTTAAAAAAACTCCTGGAGAAAGGGAAAACTCCACCAATAGAAAGGTTTGTTCAGCAGCTGTGCCAGGGTGCTCTGAGAAGGTGGCTCTCGGAATATATTAATGCTGGCTGCTTAGCAGTCTATCTAATATAAAAGCCTGTTTTAATCACCCTAGAAAATATACTGTTGCTTCTGCTAAAAGCCCACAGAATAACCCAAGTGACAATGCCCCGGGACTCAGAGAACATATTACGCTGTGTTACCAGGTCAGCAAAGACAGGCTTTTCTTACAGGCTAATTTTAAACACAGACACTGAGAGCAAAAAGGAAGAAAACAGACACAGTGGGAGTGTTTTTATGCCACACGAAAAACAAACTGGAAGAAGTAGTGAGGAAAAATTAATAGACTGTTTCCTTCACATCGAGAAATCTTTAAATTCCCAACACAAAAAGAGATGGACAAGATCTGGCAAAATTTAAGCAGTTGTATGTGCTTGGCTACCGATGCTTGGTGGCAGTATCTCGTTAACCAGTAGTTTTTTTGGCACCTGCTGGTATGTACTTTTAAAAAAAACCAAACACCACAAAACAAAACCAAACCCCCTCCAACCAGCAGTGCTTCCTATGCTTCCTCTGTTGTGCTGCATTCAAAGGAACAAGCAATTGTGCATTAAGGTGTGAAATCTAATGATAGGATTCCCACCAATTTCCAGTCTCCTCCACCCAAAGTCTTTCCCTGGGCTGAAAATATACCAAAGAATGGAACCTAATTAAAAAATAAAAATAAAGGATAGCACTCTTCCCCTTTCTTCTCCCCCTGCCTCCCCCCCCCCCCCCCACTGGGCTTCCCAACGGATCGCAGCGGGAGAGCAGTCGGTGCAAGTTTGCTCAGTGCAGACTCCTCGGAGAGGGAGTAAGGAGGGAGGGGGGCTGACATAAGGGACAGCTGGCATTTATTTGGACTTAGTTCTGGTATGGGATAAAAAGAGCCCTTTCCATGTATTCAGCACTCCAGGATTGACAAGGGAATTTATCTTTGCAAACACAAGTGTGAAAAGCTCAGGGCTGCCAAAGTGGTTTTGTTTTGCTGTTTTTCTGAACAGTCTTTTCTTTCCCCTCCCTGCCTTTCATCCAGGTTGTTTTCATGTCAGATTTTTGACGGGTGTCAGCAGTGCTTCCTATGCTTCCTCTGTTGTGCTGCATTCAAAGGAACAAGCAATTGTGCATTAAGGTGTGAAATCTAATGATAGGATTCCCACCAATTTCCAGTCTCCTCCACCCAAAGTCTTTCCCTGGGCTGAAAATATACCAAAGAATGGAACCTAATTAAAAAATAAAAATAAAGGATAGCACTCTTCCCCTTTCTTCTCCCCCTGCCTCCCCCCCCCCCTCAATTAATCTAAATGATATGGGATCAGATGACTGAAGGCATTCTAGATTCCCTTATAGGAAAACTTTCCACTTCAACTCAAACAATTAAAAGCAAGTAAGGACAGGGGGAGCATACCTTTTTCAAAAACTTTCAAAAATCATGAGCAATAGAGTCTATACACCCACCTGTTATTTTCAAAAAGAGCAGGAGAAGATGCAGAAGCACTACCCAGCAGAGTCAATAAATGGGCACAGCCAACTGAATCAACATGACATTTTGCATTCATAAGAACCGAATTCTCATTACTTTAACTTTGTTTCCATTTCAGCTCTTTAAAATTCTTATGTCACATTTGCAAAAGAAATAGCCAGTCAATAATCAAAATTAAATTAAACCTTCTTATTTTAAATAATTTCAAGTCATTTCGCTGAAGAGGCAGACATTGGTAAGCAATAATACTGCCTTAAAGCAGACAGCACAGAGCTGCTTTCTCAGTCCTTCCAGGCAAAAATGACCTCTCTAAGTTCACATGGTTACAAAATAGATGGATTCTATTTTAAGAAATATATTTCTTGCACATAAATTGTTGTTAAATTGACTTATTCAAACAATTACAGTGTGTGTAGCTACTTCTATAATTAAAGTTCATATCTGGCTAAGGTAATCAGTTATTGTATTTGTGAGCATGCAATTATGATCTGCCTAATAATTACACATTTTCAAACCCTACTTTTCCCGCACAAGCTGGCTCATTTGTTGTATGGACAGGGCGTGATACCGTGAAAGAATTCATTCAGCAGAGCTCCATGACTTGTGTCTTTATTTCCTTAGGTACACTGCCCAAGTGTTTGCTTTTTGCACACTTCTGCTCGACAGCGGGGCCTGGGCTCAGCCCCTTTTGACACGGCTTTGTCAGAAAGTCGATGAATACCTAATCTTCAAACCCAGCCTAAAAGCCTCTTGTGGTCCAAATCGTTGTCCTGAAAACTCCTAGCAGCATGTACCTGAAGGAAAAGCTGGCAGCAGCAGCCTTCATGTGTTAATTACACATGCGAAGCCCATTATGCAGAGAAAGGGCACCTGCTGGCAGCGCAAATGACTGGAACCTGCCCTTCCTGGGCAGTGAGTAAATTGAAGGTTCATTTCTACAGGAGATAATAGTTTTTAGATTCCGTGTATCCTCGACATAGGCACATACTTAACATTTAAATCATCTGCAGAGCAACAAGCTTCCTTTAAATCTACATGTTTCAGTTCCTGGCACTTCACTTAAAAAATGCTACTTAACCCTGCAGATTCCTTACTCTGCTTAAATGCAGAGAAGACGTCACACAAAACACACTATTTAAAAAAACCACAACAGCCAACCTCCACGCTAAAAGCCACGCTTAAAATTTGGTATGGGATGACACAGTTTGTTTTTTATTGGGAAGGACTTTTTCGAATGCTCAGGGGCAGAGGGAGGCTCTTCCTATGTTCCCAAACCCTCCCCAAGATCACACTGAGCACTGCGCTCCCACAGAACCCCCAGGCCCAGCAGAGCTTGTGGCAGAGACAAAGGCATTGAGTCCCTCCGCCGTTCCTGTGTCCTTCATCACTTGCCTACGTGACCACACAGCAGCAGGTCCACGTTTCCAACCCCGTAGAAGCCTCTTGTTACTCGTCACATCCCTCAGTTTAACTCCAGCCAAGCTTTGGCCTCACTAACCTCCC